CAACAGTTGACTATAGTTTCTTTTTGTGTGAAGATCAATGCAAAGAATGAATTAAGCAGCTCTTCTTTCTCTCTACTGCCTGTTACTTCCTTACATTCTTCTCTCTTTAGTGGACTGTTTCCTTGATATTTTTTTCTTGTAATTTATATGTTGGAAGAAACTTTTAAAATTATCTTTGACTTCTGTTGCAAGTCGTTGTTCATTCTAAACCTTTGCTTCCCTTACTTCATCTTTGCAGTTTCTGGCTAACCGCTGTTATGTGTCCTTCTTTCCATTTTTTCTACATGTCCTTTTTGTCTTTCAATTTGCCAGAAAGATCTTTGTGCAGCCATGCTGGTTTCTTCTTGGATTTCTTGTTTTTCTTTTTCAGTGGTATTGTCTGCATTGGACTTTTATGATTATATTTTTTCAGAGTTTCCCAAGTTTGTTGAGTTGTTTTCCCCTTTAGGATTTTTATCCAAGGAATCTTTCCCAAGTTCTTTCTGAGTTTGTTAAAATCAGCTCTTTTAAAATCTAAGGCTCTGGTGTCATTATGTTCTATTGCTTGTGTTGTCAGCTAGGTTGGTCAGGAACCTATTTGATTTCTCATTTGGTGCAGAATTAGTCTTCCAATTGATGTCAGGGTATTTGAAGTCCCCCATTAGTACTGTAGTTAGTTGGCAAAAAGTGTATCTATTTTTTCTGCTTGATTGGGTGGCCTGTAGTATACACCTATGGCAATGTTATTTTTTTCTTTTATATTGACCCATATGCATTCTAAGAGGTTTTAGTCTTTGGTTTCATGCATTTCTGTAGCAATGTAGTGGTCCTTTACACACAATGCAACTTCACTTCCGCTTTTATGGGGTCTCATTTTTTGAACAGTTTGTATCCTTCTATCAGTATGTTCCAGTCATGGATTTTGTTCCACCAAGTTTCTGTAATTCCAAGTATTTCATATCTACCTTCATTTATTAATAGTTCAAGTTCACTCTATTTGTTCCCCAAACTTTGTGCATTTGTATGTAGGCACTTGAGGTCTTTATGTCTGATTCTTGGTATGGTTCCTAAGACTCCTATTTGGAATTTGAGTTTGTCTTCCTTCCTATCCCTCCTTACCTCATTATTTGACCTGTTTTCTAGAGATTTTCGCATGGAATTAGGTCTTGGATATTGGTCACCCTCCCCCCTCTATTTTAGTTTAAAGCCCTCCTAATAAGTTGAGCCAGTCATTTTCCGAAAACATTCTTCCCAGGCGTTGTGAGGTGCAGCCCATCCCTTAGCAAAAGCCCATCACAGAGGTAGTGCAGACCGTGTTCCAGGAATCCAAAGGTTTTTTTGATGACACCAACCCTTTAGCCAGGGGTTCACTTCCTTTGTTCAATCAAGGACTCCTTTGTTTCTTCCTTTGTTCAATCAAGGATTCAACAGAATCCTTTGTTTTCTTACCTGATGTTGTCCTTTCATTGGCAGTACAGATGAAAAAACTACTTGTGCACCTAACTCCTTAACTTTCTTGCCTAGCTGCTCATAATCACTCAAAAAGTCCTTTTTTGTGTCATTCATCCCTACATATAGTAGTAGAAAAGGATAGTAATCTGTGGGTTTTATTATTTTGGTTAGATTCTCAGCTACATTTTTTATTTTTGCTCCAGGGAGACAACATACCTCATACTGTTTGGTCTACAGATGGCTGGTTCCCTTGAAAATTGAATCTTCTATCACCAACACACACCTTTTTTTCCTAGGGAAGTTTGGGGTATTTGATAGTGCTACTTTTTTAAGGGCCATTTGATGGTGCCTCTTTTCTAGATGTCTGCATGTTTTCTTCCATGGAGAGTCCATGAAATTGATGGCTTAGTACCAGTGTAGCTGCATCAGAGTGGATTGGACAGGGGTTTTGTATTAGGTTTGTCTGTTTTTCTATGAGTGACAGGTTTCGATCTGTTTTCTTCTAAGGAGTCAATTCTTTTAAAAGTTGTTTGATTATTATTATGTTCAATTTGGGCATATTCTTCTTGCAAGGTTTGGGATTTCTCATTTTGTAGGTTGAGTTTTAGACCCTTTACTTTTTCTTCTAGTAACTTGTAATTTACATTTGGTATATATATAGTTAGGGTCTTCTGTGGGTGTAAGTGTATGCATGGAACATGTTTTGCAAATCACAATAGTAACAGTTTCTTTTTCCATGAGTGGATTTTTTAGAAAATTGAAAATGAAAGTGTAGACATTTTTACCATAGATTTTTAAAAGGGAAAAATGTCCAATTTAAAATTTTGATATTGTAATAGATCATATAAAATTTCAAATTTAGGGGGGAAAGTATAGCTAAAAATTTAAAGTTCCAGCAGTTTTCAGTGTTCCATGAGTTTAACTGCAATATTCGTTTTTAGCATGTAATGGAATGTTTCATAATTATCCCTTTCCCCCCTTCCTTCTTATGATCCTTCACCACTCTGCCTTCTTGCGATCTTTATTCAATTCTTCCTTCTCTGCCTTTAAATGTCCTGTACTTGTTATTGTCTACTTGCCTTTGATTTTTTTTGGGGGGGGCCTTGTGTCCTGTGTGGTCTTTTTATCCTCTCTTCCTACTTGCTTTTCTCCTGCCACTACTGGGTATTCAGCTCTCCCTGCTTTCATGCCATTTCCCCCGCCCGTCTGTTGGTCTGCTATGTTGTTTTGTTGCTATTCACAGTCACCAGTTCGCTGGTCCTCTGTATTGCAATGCTCCACCAGCTCTGACAACCTCTGGTTCCACCGCTACTCTACCATTGCTTTCCAGGCTCCTTTCTGCATTGCTCTCAAATTCTGGTTTGCTGTGCTGCCCCTTTCTGTTGCGCTGCTGCTGCTCTTCCTCCTCAGCCATATGGCTCCCTTTTGTTGGTCCATCACACCAGTGTGGTCCAAGCAAACAGGGCCTTGCTGCCCTACAGTAAGCTCACCTCTCCTCTCTGCGGCTGGCTCTCCTCCTCTTTGCTCTGCTCTTGCGCTGGCTCTCCTTTTTGTTCTCTGCTGGTTGTTGCTTTGCCCTCAGTCGGCTCACCTCTCTGCCCTACAGGTGCTTTTCCTCCCTACTCCACAGCTGGCCCCACCCACTCACCTGCTCGCCCCCTTTGCCTCTCCACTCACCTCACTTCAATAGACCATCGGGCTCTTGGGTAAACCTCTTGGGTGTAGCTGGGCTTCTCTCAGCAGGCCAAGTTCACTATAGATCACTGCCCTTGATGGCATTTTCCTCCTATTCTTTCAATCTTTCCTTTCCTTTTCCTTTCTTCACTCTTTTTTTCTTTCTTTCTCTCTTCTCCTCCTCCCTGCTCTGCTGTCTGACCAGATCGCCTCTTTTTCTCTGCCAGTCATTCTGTTCCCCTTGGTCTGCTGTCCTCTCTGCACCACAGCTGATTTTCCTCCCTGCTCGGTAGCTGGATTGGTTCACTGGCTCGCCTCTATTTTTTTGTGTGCTGCTTGGAGAGTCGAAGCAAGGGTTAAATTCTGTCCTTCTGCCCAATGGACTGGATTGAAATTTCTGACCACGCCTCCTGGTCTCCCGGTATCTTCAGTTTTTCAATTCAGTCCATTGCCCATTAGGATGTCTTTTATAGTCTCTCCAGAGACTTTCTTCATTTTATTACCTGTATCCTTTTAAAAACATTAGGTTCCCTTCCTGTCTTTATTTTCCTTTGCCTAGATTTTCTTTCTTTCTAGCCAGCATTGATTATTTCGTTCACCTCTCTGCATTATGACAGAGAGGTTTGGCTCTCCAGGCATCCTGGGATTAACCGGGCACTGGGAGCCACTAGCCGGCTGGCTCTCAACCGCTGGGATTAGTCCGTCAGGTGACCTGCACGGCAAGATGCCAAAGTCGTCAGTGGAGGTGAGCTTTTGAACTGGAGTGACAGCCGGCTATTCCCTTCACAGTTTTCTCAGCGGCGGCTTGAGAGAGGCAGAGCAGTGATTGGAGCGCTTTCTCAAGGTGGCGACAAGTAGGCTATTTCGGAGGTTTCTCTGGCTGCGGCCACCCTCCACTTCTAGCCTTTCGATCTCTGGTGCATTTCTTCACAATCCTCTCCCCTGGCAGCGTTTATTTGTGTCCTTTTGGCACACACTTGCTCTGCTTCCCAGCGGATTACCAGCAATCACTCTACTTGCCAGACCTCTGCCCGACAAACGCAGCAGCCGATTTACCACCATGGCGGATGAGATCTCCGTGGATCCCCTTCCGGCAGGCCAGTCTTCTAATCTGACAGGGCCCTATCTTAGGAAGGCGGGCAGGACTGCTAGGGAAGCCATTGGGGGGACCATGGCCAGCAGGCCTTATTCCAAGAAGCCCTCCAAGGCGCAGGAAAAGGGTGCAGCCAGGCACCAGAAGGCCCTGGAGAAGGAATTCGCAAAGGCCCAAAGGCAGATAGTGGTACAAGTCCACCAGCCAGATCAGCCAGGAAGTCCTATTGGTCAGGATCCAGTTGGTACCCCCTTCCTCCTCCTATCTCTGGGAGTGGGGGTTTTTCCAGAGAGGTTTCCTTCTCTGGGAAGTCCAGGTCCCCTTCCTCCTCCTGGGGGGGGGGGTGCTGACCTATTTGAGTTTGACTGGTTTCTGATAGGGAGGGGTTCCCTTCTCCTGTTCCTCTGACCAGGGATTCCAATCTCAGGCCTAATGTGGTGGGGACCCGCCCAGTAGAAGACCTGGGCCCAGGCCTCTCAGCAGAAATGAAGGAAGTCATTGCTACAGCAATCTCTCAAGGGATAGCTGAGGGCCTCCAATGGAGTGAAGTGCAACCACACGTTCCACAGCCAGCACCTCCCATTCCTCAGACCTCTCCAGCTCCTCAGGTCCCTCTAACTCCACAGCCTCCTCAGAGTGTCAGCACCCCCACAGGCCTTCATCTCCGCCCCCATCGGTGGTGCTGAAATCAGTGTGGGACGATGAGGATGTTGGGGGTCATGACTTATCAGATGATGAGAACCCCATTCCAGATAAACCAGCCTTTGCTGGATTGTTTCAACCATCCTTATTCAAATCAATCATGTTCAAGGCCAAGGTGTCCACTCACATGGAGGTGGCGGTGCCTCCAGATCAGGCAGCTGCAGATCCTAGGGATCATAGTAAAGGTCTGTTTGATGAGAAGGTTCCTGCACAAGAAATTGTTCCTTCTCCCAAACTCTTTCAGGATGTGGTCCAACGCCAGTGGGTCCAGCCTGGCACCCTGGCCACCCTTGGTGTAATGACAAACGCCTTTACTCAGTGGATCCTCCCATGGAAAAGCTTCTTAAGCTCCTTTCCATTGATCCTCCAGTTCAGGCTCTCACTTCCTCTTCAGTGCTCCCACCGGACCTTCTAGAAGGACTTAAGGCAGAGGACAAAAGAGCTGAATGGGCTTGTCACAAGACCCATCAAGCTGCAGCTTGAACCATTAAGGCGGCCACCTTTGCCTCATTCTTTAATAGGGCCACATTGCCTGGCTTCACCAGTTACTCATTAGGCTCCTAGCAGGGGACACCAGACTGTGGCACAACGTAAACAAAATTGTAGCCACGGTGGAATATTCTGCAAATGTCATCCTTAATGCTGCGAAGTTTGCTTTGTGCGCCATGGCCTCTAATGTCACCTCTCGTAGGCTCTTATGGCTACACCACTGGAACGTGGCTATGCATTAGAAGTGGAAGATTGCTTCCGCCTCCTTTAAAGGGGGAAAGTTGTTTGGGGAGGCCCTTGACTCAGTTTTGGTTGAGAACAAGGATAAGCGGAAGATGATGCCCTCGGTTTTCAGGAAACCAGACCGAAGGTCATCCTCCTTTTCCTGCAGGCAGACTTCCTGCCCAGCTGATCCTCCGAAGAGCAATTCCTCCTTTCAGCGTTCCTACGCTCAGGGGACAGATTGCAATCAGGATCGACAGCCATTTTGGGACAGGGCCCGTCAGCAGCCCTACTCCCATCGTCCTGTTTGGGGAGGGTCTGGAAACAAATCCTTCCATCAGAACAAGTGACCACCATCCCAATCCTCCCATAGGGGTCCAGCTCCAATTCTTTGCCACCCAGTGGGAGGAGATTAACTCAGATACGTGGGTGCTCCAAACGATTCGGATAGGCTCACTCTGGAATTCCTCCCCCCCACGCCACTTTATTCGTTGCCCAACTCCCAGATGTCCCACCAAGAGGGGCCTCATGGAGGCCGAGATCCATCACCTCAAGGAGATCAGGGCCATAGAAGCAGTTCTCCCAGGGCAAGAACGCAGAGGGTTCTATTCCATTCTATTCCTAGTGCCCAAAAGCTCAGGGCAGGGGGTGAAGAGCGATACTGTCAGCACTCCTCCATTAGATAATTAGGAAAGGAAAACCACGAGACTCCATTGATAGAAATCAAGTGTACTTTTACTAATTATAAATGATTAGAAGCGTAGCGAAGCGAAGACTGATTATTTAGGCGCAAAAGCAAATGATATATAGAATTCCCCTCCCCTTGGCATCCCAGTTACAGTCCAATCATAATTCTCCCAAGTGTCAGGTGTGAGATAACTTC